ATTTTGAAAATGTCCATTGTATTAATATATACTTTTACAGTTACTAATTTCTATGTTGTTTAAGAAACATTAGCTTATTCCCAAGTAATAAAAATGTTTTTCTGCTTAATTTTAAAAGTTCTATTATATTTGATCCTTACATTTAGATGATGATTTGTTTCCCAGTAAATTTTATGTGTGCTATGAGGTGGAGTCAAATTTAATCATTTTGCAATATATATCAACTTGGATCAGAACAATTTATTGAACACACATTTCTTTCCCAAACACATTCCTTCCTCAAACAACTGTTTAAATCTGAGTTGGTTTCTGGGCTGCTTGTTTTGATCCATTAATTCAGTTGTCAATAATTATTTCAGTACCACCCTATCTTAGAAAGTGTTACAGAAAGTACTCTATGTCCTTCACATTGTCTTTTTTTCAAGGGTGCTTTGGATTGTCTAGGTCTTTTGCTTATCATATAAATTTAGAATTCTGTTAATTTCTAGAAAATTTCTGCTGAGATTATGATTGAAATCACATTTATCTATGAATAAGTCTTTCTCAGTTGAGGTAATTTTGCTTCTCAGGGAACATTTGACAATATTTGGGCACAGCTTTTGTTTCTACAACTGAGGAAAATATTTAGTAAGTGAGACTAGGGATATTGCTTATTATGTTACAATGAATAAATATCCCACCTCTGGCAATAAAGAATTATCTAACCCAATCTTATTGTCAGATTTCTCTTTTTCTTCTATGAAAATTTATCTGCTTTCACCTGTCTTCAGAAGAACCTATATGGGCAAATAATTTGTCCTAGGAAATTAGACATTTTATGTAGGCTTTCAAATATAGATTTAATCCATATAATTCATTATATTCAATATAATATATACATACTATATATTCAATATAATATTTCATTATAATTTTATAATGGTACTATTTACTTTATTAGGATAACAGGTAAGCATTTATTTCTTAAAAGCTGGATATATAAAAGAAACAAGCATTTCTCTTTCATTTCTTATTTGGACTATGTCCTTAATGACCTAATGATAATGAGAAGAAATGTCTCAATAAAGTTAGTCTCAAAAATACTTTTAAAACATAATATAATTATCACCATTTTGCAATAGTTAATAAATTAATATATCTAGATATTAAGCAGCAATGGGTGCAAACATGACAAAGAACAAAAACTAGACTTTATATATTTCCTAATGAAAGAATACCATGCCACACATAACGATTCTGAAGGGGTAAACCTAAATCTAATCAAGCCTTTGGGTCTGCTTCCCATTTTGTAGAAAATACAGAGGACAATGGACATAATTGGCTATACCAGGAGTGTAAAATCAATAACATCCAGATGATTAAAATAAAAAAACAACTCTATAGATCAAATGCCCTGAATTCTTCAAGAGATAAATTGTATGGAAAAAGGAAAGAGTTAAAGGATAGCAAACCAGTAGATTAAAAGGAACTTAAAAGACATATCAGTTTAAAAATGGGCAAGATGAAATTAAAGTGTCTACAGGTATATACTTAGGTAATGAAATAATGAGGAAAAACAAGTTATTACTATAAAATGCAGTGGATACCCTGAGGGGAGGAAGAGAGTTGTGAATCAGGCAGAGTATCTAAACAAGGCTTCTGGGATAACTAGAAATATCTACTTCATGACCAGGGTGGCAGTCACAATTAAATTCAGTAAGCTATATATTTGTTTTAGGTGTTTTTTCTGTTTGTTTTATTTTATACTAAAAATGTTATAAAACATCAAAGACAAAGGACAATCAGGGAAATAATATTTGTAACTTCTTAGGCAAGAGACTTATCTCTGTATTGTATAAAGAGCTCTTATAAATTGAGAATTTAAAAAACCCAAACTCTAGTGAAATAATGAGCATGTAACTTGATTAGCCAGGTCACAGAATAATATACAAATCCACTTAGACATAGTTTTTAAGGGCTCAACTTCAATTACAATGAGAAATGACACTAATTGCTATTTCCAGTTGCTATTGGATTAGTACAATTCAAGAAGTTTGAAAGCTCACTCTGGTGAGATTTTGAGGAAATGGCACTTTCATACATTGCTGGTGGAAACAGAAAATGACACAAATATGATGGCAGGTAATTAGCAGTATCTATCAGAATCACACATGCATTGCTCTTTATACCAGTAGTAACTTCTAGCAATGCAGATATACACAAAGACTATTTATTTCCAAAGCTTTGTATTACAACATTGCTTGTGATAGCAAAAGGCACACTACATGTTCCTCAAAGGGGATTTATTAAATAAACCATAGTATATTACCAAAATGAAATACTGTTTAGCTGTAAAAAAAAAATGAGAACCCTTTGCATTCATACACATATAGAAATACTTTCAGGATACTAAATGCAAAAATAAAAATAAAAATTTAATTTATCTAACATACAGGTACAAAAAGCAGATTAAGAGAACTCAAAATTTAGATTTACCTTCCAATAAATATGAGAAATATAAAACAAACTTTAAAAAGAGGTATTCATACATAGCAGAATGAGAAAAATCATGGCTGAAATACTCAATATATTCTTTTTATATCACTGATTTTGAAACATGGGAATACATTTAATAAAATATAACATAGTAAAATAAGTATTGCTCTAGATCCATACCTTTTATAGATATTGTTATTTCTTTGTTTACCTTACAACAAAATTCATTGTGTCTACTTCTGCATCATTATTTCTTGAAACCTCAACGAGCTTTTTTTTTTTTTTTTTTTTTTTTTTTTTTTTTTTTTTTTTTTTTTCTCCAAGCCCTTTAATATTCACTTAAACAATTGAGGCACAAGCAATAATAAAACTGCAACTTTTAACGTTACAAAAAGATTCTGTATGTCATTTGCATGAAATACCAATTTTCTCAATCTCTTCTGCAGTAACATCTCATTAACACTCTGGTCCACAGGTTGATTTAATCAAGTCAGAATGGCAGGCAGAAACATGGTAAAATAAACCAAACGTTTACTGACTGCCTACGATGCACACTCTACTAGGTTTTACACACTTTACGTAAGAACCAAGTTCTAGTTATCAGTCAACAGGCCAGCATTGCCACAGCCAGTCGGTCTGTTTTAAATGTCCTTTCACTTTAAGTACAAACTGTGAAACAAAACAATGTATCTTTGCCCAAAGAAGCATGTCAACTGTTGCACTAATACATTATTTCCCATTTCCAAAGTTTTTGTTTTTCCTAAGTGTGCAACATTAGCACATGGAAACATTCAAGCTGTTTATTACTCCACTGAAATCTGGTTTTTTTTTTCGTTCTCACCTGCTGAGAACCATTTGGCCAGCATCACGACGATGACCTGATTCTATCACCCTGTAAAACTTAAAGTGGGAACGGATAGTGTTTGACAATTATATTTCTGGGAGAAAGAAAACGCTGATTTTTTTTTTTTTCCTTGATACAGCTAGCTTTAAAAAGTGGTACTTCCTCTTAAAGCACCAAAGTCATTTAAACAAGAAAATATACTTGGCTTAATGAGCTATAAAATGAAGGCATCATTGCCTTTTCAAGCACTACAGCGAAGCCAGAATGTTGAGAGCCAGGTCATAGTGCACTCCAGTTCCCAAGGAAATGGTGTTTCTGCCCTCCCCAAACCTAAGCTGCCCATCACTCCTCCAGCCAGCCCTCCTCTCTGAGCCGTCAGCTGCTTGTTCCCTTTCCCACCCCTGTTCTCCCTCTAACTGCTCCTCCTATGTATGTCTGGACTGGTGCCTAAGACTTCTTAGCTGCCTGGTTAATCACTGACCAATCAGCACTACACTGCTTTGGATATGGGCTCCCACTAGTAAAACTGACTGGCATGTTTGTACTGGCCAGTCCCCACCCCCCACCCCCACCAAAAAGCATCCTGCGTCACCAAAAAAGCACTGTTTAACGGTTCAGGATCACAAACCCTCAAGATACCCAAGAAAAGTCCTTAAATGTGAGTCACCTAATCTAATAGTAGAGGTAAGTTCAGAGATGAAGTGTGACTTGCTCAAGGCTGTGCGGCTAATTAGAGGCAGAAACTAGAACTGTGTTTCTCTTTCCACTGCACCACAAAAACACAAGATTAGGAACGATTAAGTCTGTAAGTAAACCAAAATAAAATACCTAGTACATAGGACGTCTTTGGGATCTCTCCACAGACTTTTAGACAGAATAAAGGCAATTTTTACAATGAGAAATGTTATTCAGTCCCACAGATGCCACCAAGTACCAAGGATCCTTAGTTCTGAAACGGAATCTGTGACTATGGAGAATATGTCACTATTCGAGAATAAGAGGTCCCACCTGCTCCATCCTTTTCAAGTTTTCAGTCACAGGGTTGCAACTTACTCTCATCATTTCACAAGATAAATTAATCAAGTTGAAGTAGGATTAAGGAGGTACACTGAAGATAAAAGCAAAAGGCAAAAACATTTTTACAAGCAAATCATCCCAGTTACCTTAAAAGCTTCAGATTAATTTACAGAGTAGTGACAGAATCATGTAATTTCAGTGAAAATCAACAATAGATAGTTACATCATTAAAAAAAAGATCAATTTGGAAATACTAAGTCAGGCAAGCATGCAAAATTCAGAATATAAAAAAACGCAAGGCCTGGTTGCCCACATACATTCCTCAGGTTAAGGTGGATTTAAAGATGCTCAACAGAACCCAATGAACCAGAAGCTGAAAGGGACACTTCAGTGATCAGCAGTTGCATTCTCTCATGTAACAGAGCAAAGTGAGCACGCATGAACTGGCGAAGCTCACCAGGCTAGATTAGGGGTGTACATAGATCTAATTCCCGGTGCTACCTACAACTACGTATATTTAAAATACAAGGAGAAAAATACCCAAAACACATTAAGCCCACTGATTTAAACAAAACACTTCAAGACTGATACACAGAAAGGGAATGGAATCAACGCAGCACAGCAGCACACCTCACATATTTATGTCTCAGATTAAATGGAAAGAAATGATCACTCAAAAACTTTAATGCTCAGTTTTCGCAAACACGATCAAGTCTATCAAATTTCCAGATTTACAGCAAAAGGTATCAGTTAAAATTTTAAGTGTATGTTCTTCATTCTTCAGTTTCTCCTATACTTTTTTTTTGCCTGTCCTTCAAAACTGAGCACTGCATATTTTTAACATAAGCCACTGTCATATATACAGTTTAACTATGTTTCAGGAATAAACAAAATCCATGATATTTCAGTAACTCATAGTGTATTTATAAAATGAAAAGCTATCAAAATACACTTTTCACTGGGAAAAATAAATAAAATAGACAAATGGATCTACACAAAGTAAACATTAACTTTGGTAGATTTCAGTGTAGTTCATAACAAGCATTATTTGCCCTTATTCCCCCCAGAGCTGCTCAACTACCAAGAATTTTTAAAATATTTTTAACTAAGATCTTATTAGGTTGACATTTGTTTCTCATTCCACGTCATCTTCAGCCAAGCTCTGAGCACTTACAATTCTCTGACTAATTGTTGGGAGCTTAGTCAGAAGCATCTGGAACACTGGTGGTGGAAGAGTCTGCTGTAAGACCTGAAGTAACTGCTGTGGCTGTCCACACACAGCAATTGCATTCGTCAGATGATCTACTCCCTTCTCATATTCACCTTGAGCTAGTAATTCTTCACCAAGTTGTATTTCTTCAAGGAAGAATTTCTGAACAGCTTCAGCATCTTTAAGGTCAGGTAACTTGGAAAGCCCAGCTCTCTCCTTGGCAAGCTTCTGTTTCTTTCTTCGTTCTCGAAGCCTGTTCTTAAAGTTGGGGTCACTTCGTCTTTTGCGGTCGAAGTAGATGCAGTACCCGATAAAAAGGGCCCCACATACACCGGCGGCGATGGCACTGTTCCGACCCACCATCTTCTCTACAACGCGGAGCGTGAGCGATGGCGGCAGAAACCGCGAGGGAGCTGTGGGCCCCAAACCCCCAGAGCGGAGGGCGCAGCTCACACCCGACGCCCGCGGGCCAGGAACTCCGAAAGGCCTCAACGAGCTTTTTATCCCTACAATTATATTAAAATGGCTCTGATGAGGATAATCAGTGACATTTATTATATGTCCATGCCCAGTGATCAGTTCCTAGTCTTTAAGTTACTTGATAATCAACAGTTTTTCACATAATGGATCCTTTGTCCTCCTGGAAACATGTTTTTATTTTCTTCCAGGAAAACATCAGTGGCTTGGGATTAGTTCTTGGATCTCTTTGCTTCTCTCATCTTACTCCCTTGATGATCTCTTCTTGCAATCTTGGCTTTAAATACCATCTACATACCAATAGCTTTCAAATTTATATCTTAGGTATGAATTTATGGCTGAACTCCACATTTCTAGATTCTTCTATCTATTCACTGTCTTCACTTAGATATTGAATGTGAACCTCATTTTAATAATTTAAAAACACAACTTAACCATTATTACTGTTGCACCAAACCTGCTTCTCTTACAGTTATCTATCTTATTGAGTGATAACTCCATCTTTCCCATTGTTCAGGCCCCAAACTTTAGTGCTATCCTTAATTTCTCTCATTTATATCCCATTTCCAATTCCTAAGCAAACCCTATAGTGTCTACTTTAAAATACATCTAAGACAGTAAGGTGTAATCACTTCTCCTTGCTCTTGTCTGTTCTCAAAACAATAGTCAAAGTGATTCTTTTTGGTGCAAGTTAAATCATGTTACTCTGCCCCAAACTCTCTAGTGGCTCCCACATTGTTACCAGCCTGGCAAGGCCCTACATGATCTGAACCTCTTGCTCTCTGACCTCTCCTCTAAGTACACCCATCACAAGTGTTGCTCAGTATCTTCAACTACACCAGCTTCACCTCTCCCAAAGTCATCCGGGTGACTTGTTCCTACACCCTTTTAATGTTTTATGTTGAGATTTCAACTTAGTTACCATTTTGTTTAAAGTGGCAATGATGATGCTCTGTTTTTTCATAATATTTATCATCTATTCAACATTTTATATATGTTATTGACGTATTTGCTTCTATTTCCATACAGGCAGGGATTTTTTAGTCTTTTTTTCCACAGCTATATTCCCAGTGCCTCGAACAATGCCTGAAACATAGTATAGACTCAATGAATAAAAGTGGTGACTAAATGATATACAACTTAAGTCTTTATAATTTTTGGTACTTTTTCTTGTGTTGCTTAGTTTATGTGAAGCAGAAATTAACAATCTTGACATTAAATTTCTAGTGATCAGTGAATGGGCCATTTTTACCTCCTCTTCAATGGCAGAAGAAGAAAACATATTTGAAAATAAGACATACGACCACCCATGGAAAGCTTTTTGTGTAGTGGGAATAGTCCTCAAGAGCTCTCAATCAGAGGTGTTCCTTACTCTCCACAAAAGTAAGAGTTTCATTGCATTCCTTCAACCTGAGCTGAAGCAGATTATATTAGTATAAAATATTCATGGGGTTTAGAAAAACTTTGTAGTATGTATTACAGTGTGCATTTATGGTTCTGTGTCAGAGTGCAAGGAGCAATAAGGTTGAGAAAAAGGTATTACAACAATGGATTTTCATCTGATGTTCACATGTCAAAATGCTTTAATGCTGTTTTAAATTGAAATTATGACTAAAAGTAAATCAAAGGCATTGGACAAATAATTGTTAAAACTATATCTCCCATTTACTTGGAATGATAAAAATACATTGGACAAATATTTCTGGTAAAGTACTATAGTAATTTTGTACTTTGACTTGCCTCACTCTGCTCCAAACCTAACAATAATACATTAAATATATTTGGGAAAAAAATAAATTGCATGGGTGTAAAACAGAATGAATAGAAGTGGATTAGAAACAGAAGCCAAGATAAGGCCAGAGCCATGGCTGTTCTTGGCCTGCTATAGGCAAGGGTGGCCTGAGCTTATCTCTTGTGTGAAAATAACAGGGACAAAAACACTCCCATGCAATAAAGTAGCAGTCCCTGACCTTTTTGGCACCAGAGACCAGTTTCATGGAAGACAATTTTTCCGTTGACCGGAGTGTGGGGGTTTGTTTCAGAATGATTCAAGTACATTACATTCATTGGGCAATTAATTTTCATTATTACATTGTAATATATAATGAAATCATTTTACAATTGATCATAATACAGAATCAGTGAGAACCCCGAGCTTATTTTCTAACAACTAGATGGTCTCATCTGGAGTTGATGGGAGACACTGACAAATTATCAGGCATTAGAATCTCATAAGGAATTTGAAACCTAGCATGCACAGTTCACAACAGGGTTTGTACTCCTGTGAGAATTTAATGCCACTGCTGATCTGAGGGGAGGTGGAACTCAGGAAGTAATGTGAGTGATGGGGAGTGGCTGTAAATACAGATGAAACTTTACTCACACACCCACCACTCACCTCCTGCTGTGCAACCCAGTTCCTAATAGGCCAGGGACCAGTTCTGGTCCATAGTCCAGGGATTGGGGATCCCTGCAATAAAGTACGTACAAAATTCATCTTATGAAATAATCTGAAAAAAAGACTTCAAAATGTGCATTAAAGTATATTTAGGATGCTCAAAATATATGTAAATAATTTATAAATATAGTAAAATCGTAAAGTTTAAACTGAAAGAAATGAAACAGGAAGTGCTAAGTATTAAAAAAAAGCAATCAGAAATCTCGGCTATGCTGAGATTATAACTTATTTTACTCCCTTCGATCTGTGGACTAGATTCAGGAAACATGTGATCGAGGCTAAAGGCCTGGGTTTCATGGTTCAGACAGTGAAGCAAGCAGTGGAGACAGTAGGCTCAATTTCTTCATGTTAGTGACTTGGAGGAAGGTTCACAGCTTGAAGCCAGAGCTGGGGATAAGTCACCTCCAATCCTAAAAGGAAGCTACCCAAACAAAGCCAATAAAGGTTAAGCTTTGCCTGGGAAGACTTTATCAAATATAGGCCTAGGGAAACAGAGAACAAAGATGTAATCTTACTCCCAGTAGCTATGCTAACCTGTCCCCATAAATATATATGACATAGCCCTCACACCACAAAGGAGGCAGTAATTTGAATCTGCAACTGTAAAGCCTAAGAGGCCTGGTGAAGTCTTGCAGGACGGAAGCCTTGTGAGACTCTGAGTCACTGCGTGGAAGTGAGGCCCCAACTTGTATCAGACTATGCATGAGATAAAATCAAAACCAAATGTTTGGTTTGTTGTGATACTGAGATTTTAGAATTTGTGTTTCTGCAGTGGGAGGCAAAGTTAATATTAATAAGCTAATTAATATAATGACTATTTTAATTTGCCTAGTAAAATAAAAGTAACAAGATACAATGTACAATGGTTAATTAAAATATATGAAAGGTCTTTTTTCTGTTTATAAAAGGATAGAAACACTGCCTAGATATAGGATTTTATAAAATTAATAAATTTTCTATCAATGCTACAAAAGGCAGATGAAATATGAACAAAAAGATGACAACCAAGTGATAGAAGTAAGTCTAAATACATTTAAAAAAATCATAATGAATGTAATCAAGTTGAACTCCTGATTAAAGGATAAATATTATCAGGTTGAATAAAAGTGGCAAAATATAGTGATAACCTGCATATAATAAACACTCCTAAAACACTCCTAAAATGAACTCGAAATAAAAATCAGCTTCATAGTAATATTAAAAATGAAAATAGCTTACAAGGCAAAACTCATTAACAAGAATAAAGAGAAATGCTACATTGTAATAAAAAGATAATTCACCAAGAACATATCAAATCTATAAACTAGATGTTCACACCATTGTTCATTAAAGTATCTAAAGTAAAACTGAAAAGCACAAAAAGAAATTGACAAGTCTACAATTATGCTGGAACATGTGAAAAACCCCTATGAAAGTGAAATAGATGAAGCAGACAAAAAATTAGCAAGGTTATGAGAATCTTAACAACAAAATAGACATATCTAACATGTCTGCCAATCTACATGTTTCCTTCTACATTTGAGGATTAAAGTACTACTACAAGATATTCTTTTAAGAATACAAGATTTAGTTTTTAAAAGAATTCCATTTTTTACCCTTTTTCTTCTTACTGAGATGAATTTAAATTTTGAGCATCCTCTGAGCAGCAAGAAATAAAAGCTACCATACAATCATCTTTGCATTTGCATTTTTAGTTTGTTAGTAGTAGTGATAAAATAATGTAACATTTGCATTGTTTTCATTGTCCTCAGTGGGTTTAAAAAATTCCACATTCAAAGTTCAGTTTTATAAACATTGAGTGGCATAAGTGTGTTTTGTTTGCCAAGTTTTAAGTGAGCATTATTTAAAAGTTAAAAGAATGCTTACAACCATGTTATGCAAGACACATATTATGGGATTAGTTGTTTAGAGACAGTGTTCTACAGCTTTTTTTAAATTGTGGTAAGAATAACTAACATGAGATTGCCCTCTTAAATTTTTAAGTATATAATACATTATTGCTGACTGTAGGTACAGATCTCTCTAATGCTTACTCAACTTGCTTGACTAAAGTTTTATGCCCATTGATTAACTCTCCATTTTTCCTTCTCTTCATAAGAACTAAAAATCAAGTGAGTGAAACCCTGGTTTTTATATTATACAAAAAGGCACTGAAGAGGTTAGGAAAGACAGTTTTGAATTGCCAAAACCACCCTTCCCCCATTTCCTAGCAGCAACCATGTGGTACAGAGAAACTACTTGGGACTGTGCTTGGGAGGGAGAGTGCAGTGACTGTGGGACTTTGCATTGAAACTCTGTGCTGCCCTGTCACAATGGAAAGCAACACAGGGTAGAATTCAATTGGCACCCAAGGAGGGAACATTTAGACCAGCCCTAACCAGAAGGTAATTGTCCATCCCAACAGTTGGAGATTAATTTCCAGCTAGCCCCACCACAGTGAACTGAAGTGCTCTGGGGTTGTAAATAAATTTGAAAGGCAATCTAGGCCACGGAGCTGAAATTCCTGGGAAAGTCCCGGTGCTGTGTTGGGGCTGGAGCTAGTGGACTT